CTACTACCTACTACCTACTACCTACTACCTACTACCTACTACCTACTACCTGCTACCTGCTACCTACTACCTACTACCTACTACCTACTACCTACTACCTACTACCCACTACCTACTACCTACTTCTTCTACTACGACTATGACGACTGCGACGACTACGCGAAGCCTGGCCCGGTGAAGTCCAAGGACCTCTATGTCTGGCATGAACAATGCCACATTCAAGCACTAGTTGCAGCTGGAAACAGACAGTAATCACCCGCAAGATTGGCCAGCATTTGTGCGAACCATATTATGGAAGCACACCGTCAATTCACTGCTATTTTCGCCCTCAGCGGTTCGAGCTTGTCAGGCCGCGACTCCAGTAGCATTTTGCTTCTGGCCAGACTGCAATAACTTTTGGAGGAACTGTGCTTCATCAGTTCACTTTCCTGATCGGCCAAAACTTCGCAATGTCGTCGAACAAACGACAATGCCGACTTCGTTACCCTGCATGCTGCACTTGTTATCACCCCTTTCGCATCCTCACCGACTCTAACTAAGCATAGTTGGACTGACTGGCAGCCCTTGCAAGGCTATGCATGCCTTTGCCACGGCCGTGCACAGACTTCGATGTGCTCCAGGAATTCACTGCATCGTGCAACACTCATCTGCCTGCGACATGATTTTGCTCACGTCATCGCGGCCACGAAGCCTGAGCTTTGACTGGCTGAATAAACAAGCATAGCAACCTCTGAAGCAACGTGGTTTGAGTGAGCAGTTGATTCTAAGCGTTGTGCGCGGGCTCATGCAGTCAGGCCAGTTGGGTGAAGGCAAGTCACCCTTGCAAGAATTTGGCCTGTTGCATTGTCGTGATGGTCCCGGGACGGCACATTCGTAACCATGGCAAGAGAATCCTTGAGCATTTCAACAATATCCCTGCAGCAGCCTCTCTGACTCTCACTGGCTTTCATGCCAGATCATGCTCGACTAGAGGCTCGCCGGGGACATCAAATCTCTGGATGGTGAGGACGGCAGCACAAACGCCAGAGCGCCCAAAGCCGGCCTGAACGGCTGCGTTTGCAGCCACTGACACTTTGGTTTGCTTGGTTTGGTGTTGGGGACACGCACTTAGGTCCAATGCCCTGGGCATCGGCAAGCATTTTGGACTCTGGGTGCTCTGTGCAAGAGCGATTCTCATCTGTCGGCCAGCTCTCGTAGGAGCACAATCCTAATCAAGAGCAGTCTAACAAAGCAACAATTTCAATCGGGGAGCAATGTCACGCGATGTCGCCGTAACTCGCTGTGGCTACATTGGACCAGCCAAATCATGACAACACCCACAGCCGGCAGTCTTGTGAGCCCACCTTGCAGTGAAAAGCTATGGCCTTCTCGATGCCATCACAACCATGTATGACTTTCTTCAGCACGTCCTGATTCTTGCTGGACTGCAACTGCATCTGTCAAGGCCTTACCGCCTGGCCTTGGGAGGTACACCTCCCTGTGTGTCATCGTATGCTGCCTGGATATGGGTCATCCCGAGTTCCACGAACAGGTTTGGGTCATAGCTCTTGTCCAAACCTCGGCATGCAAATATCAAACACTTTGCTGGCAAAAACGTTTGGATACCTCTGTGTGAATGTAATCACTCTGCATGTGAAACCTGCCTGATTCTCTGTCCTTGTTCAGTCGCACCAACGCAGTGACTTGGTTGGACTCGAACCAAGAGAAAAAGTTCGGCGAATCTGGAGGGACAAGATGACTGGCTGTGGCTGGATCCGGGTCCAATGCTGTCGTGACCTGGCCCAGAAAACTCAGTCATTCTCCGCACCTTTGGAGCTACGAATAGACTAGGTGCCCCACGGGATCAGCAAAAAGGAGAATTTGGCCGGGAATGACCCAAGCGGCATCCCACTCAGCACACAAATCCCTGAATGCCTCGGCTCTTGACAGTCTGCATGCTCATGCTCGAACGACTATAACTCGATGCAAAGCAAGGCCAAGTCAAGCAACTCGGACGTTGAAATGCTCCACATCCAACCATTTCCGCCTCGGGTGGCACCAAATGCCGCAAAAATCATAACACCACGCTGCACACAAGCTCGATGCACTGGGTTGGCGCACCTGATTGCCAAGTCCAAGGCCTCCAAACACTTTGCCAGAGACAGGTGTCTGGGAGGCGCTGGCTTGTGTAGCGGAGCCCAGGAATGCTGCCTCAAGATTTTACTACACAAGCGATCTCGTAAAATTGCTGCAGTTGATACACACAAGACACCTTCTGCAAGCCTTCCTGGCGTTTTTCAAAATAGTTGTGAACAAGGAGCCGGAAACCGACTTCATGCCCAGTCCAAACAGACACAGCAGCATCCAGGGTGCATCCTTTCCTCAGGTTGCAGCCGTCACTGTGCGAAGATTTTGGAACAATGTGCCTTGTAACTTGAGGTCGGCGTCATCAGCAAAGGATACGCAGAGGTGCAGAGTGCCGAAAAGGCCCTGTGCGAGGCAAACTTCTCGCCAGCGGGACACACCACCAAGACTTTCTTGTTTGCCTGGTGCAAAGGCGTCGGTACGAAAGGAATAGGTGGAAGGCACAACAAACGATAGTGCCTGCAACTTCTCATGTAGGAAGCGACTGGACTCTACAATTTGGTCAAGAGCTGGCGGCCCGTCATCGTGGTAGTATCCTTGAAAGGGTCAGTCGACACAGCACTAGCTTCCAAACTTCGTACCCGACGAACGAACTGAACACAGGCTCTGCGAATGCCAAGAGCATGAAATCTGAACCATCCTGATGTGCAGAAGCAGCAGGAAAGAGCTGTGAAGCAGGTGCCAACCAAGGCAGGTGTACGTAAACCTTGCCCCCGTTAGATACCACGTCTCAACCTGCCAAGCCAGGCAACCATCAACGACGTAGTGTGGCACTTGGTAAGCACCCTTGCGCACGCATGGTTCGTTGAGGAAGCACACCACATCAACATCTCCAGATGCGTCGGTCACCTGGAAAGGAATCGGACTTGAAGCATCTGGGCTTTTTTCTGCATGTCACTGGTGTATCTTTTGTGCACTGTCTGGCGCACCGTGGGCTTCCACATGCCGTTGTCCTGCACACACGCCACATCATCCGCCCAGCGCAGATCTGCCCCCAGCACGTTCACAATCGGCATGGGCAAACAGCAAAAGCCAGCAGGCTGAACTTTGTGCAAAAGACTTTTCGGTTGCTTCCCTAGCGCTGTGGCATGGTCGCGCTAGCAATCATTGCAGCTTCAGACACTAGCCTGCGGCTTGAGTGGTAGAAAACGGCAGTCGTGGGCACGGGCCAATATGTCGCTTCTTCGTCATGCCCCGTGCCCCCGCTTGCAGGGGAGGGGAGGGGAGGGGAGAGGGGAGAGGGGAGAGGGGAGAGGGGAGAGGGGAGAGGGAAGAGGGAAGAGGGGAGAGAGCGGAGCCTGCGTTGATGTTTTTGCCACATGGATTGTCCGAGATTCTTGGCTAAGCTTGACAATCAGCTGCTGGCACCTCGAGGCGTGGAGCCGGGAATGGAACAGCTCTGCTTGCAGCTGCCTCGTGGCCAAGGCTGCACGATGCACACAATCATGAGCACTGCGACACAAGTTCAGGAGGTGTTTCAGGAACTGTGATGCCTTGGCGAGACAAAGCTTAATCTAAACGCATTTGGTCATGTGGTCTCACTTCCTAGATTATCCATACTACACCAAATCCTACAATATCGCCTGCTGCCATGCAGCAACGTAAGCAAGCGACCGCGACTGGCCGCTCGACCGACACAGTGCAGATGTTCTGCAAGCTTTCTCACGGCTTGCTTCGCAGCAACTGTCCGAGCTGCCGGCATTCATGAATCGGCATGCATGCCTTGGTGCAGTTCTTGGTGTCCAGAGATCATCTTCCACAGGCTGCATGCATCCAGGTGACTCTGTTTCACATGTCTAGTCGAGGCACGCCAAGGAAACGCAAATGCAGCTGTTTGCCGAGTGCTTAGAATTTGAAGCATTGGTTTGCTTTCATTTCACTGCTGCTTGGCATCTGAACGGGATGGCCTCGCTGCTAAGTCCGAGAAACTTTGAGGCATGCCCTGGCCCTGTGCATTGGTTGGACATGGGGATCCTGAGCCAGCGCAGGCCCTTCAAAGAACGTGAGATTTGCTGCGACTCTGTGAGGCAACACGGAACAGCCACAGCTTCTTCAATAGCACCCTTCTTTTGTCAGCCTCGCTTATCTTCAACGCTTGCTCCACTATCCTTCCGGAATTGGATCGGCGCCCCTCGCTGTTGGACTCCTGGCTAGTGGGACAGGGTGATTCTGAGGTGCCGGTTGCGGCGATCGCCCCAGTCAACTACCCGGAGTGATTTGTGTCCTTGAAGGTTGGCAACATTTCGGTCTCCTGTGGCTGAGGAACCTCCCGATAGCGCCCGCGGCACATACCGCTTTACCAGTCATTCCAGTCAGTCTACACAGGAGGGAAGCCCCGCCTCAACAAAGTACGCGTGCTGCTGGGCAACTTCAGCAGAAGAGCGCCTGCACAATGCTTCGTTGCATGACGACCTCGAGAAAGCGTGCAGGAAGGAAGCCAACAAGGCCTGTCTGGGCAAAGCTGCAAGAGGGATTGCAGCAAGTCCAAACCCAAGGCTGATAGACTTCCATGCTCGGCAAGAACCTCCCAGCCTGGCGAGATGCAAACCACGTTGCGTGAATCTCTTTAAGTGGAAAACCTCGCATAGGAGGATATTGATAGATATGTACATAGTATTGTAGCACGTCAGCTCCGTGCATGCGGGTATGTACATGTTGCCATCTAGGACGTGGTCTTGTACATCAGGACGCCAGTTCCTGCAGGCATGCACGTGGGGCGCCTGTGCAGGTACGAACGTCGAGGCTGCTTCTTGTCTAGTGCGGTTAAACAGACGTGCACATTGCATGCTGCACGCTGTGGGCTGCGCGGCCGGTATGCGTTTTGTGTGAGTGTCTAGGAATGTACGAACGCATCCATGCAAAATGCTGCCGCGCTATGCCTACCACAACAAGGCCTGCGCGCATCCATACCAGATGTAAGAACGGATGTAAACTGCGGAGGGCCCCGGGCGAGGGGAGCGTAGACATTGGGCGAATGCCGTCACTGGTCTGTTTGTTGTCATCACCAAGTGAGAGCTTGGGCTTGCAGAGCATTGATGGCGTGTGGAGGCAGACGTGGTCATAATAACAGCAATGTCGGCTTCTTGAACTGTGTAAAAAGGCACTACCGTGATCCCAAGAAAGCATCGTCTCATATATTGCCTCACGGTCAAGAAGAGTCGCGCCTGTAAACAAGCAATGCAGAGAGAAAGCTAAGCAATCTCGACTTGGAAGCAGCACTGGGTCCATTACATTTTGTCTCGGTTATGAACCTAACGGCTAGAATCATACCGTCATACCCCACCAATCCGTCAGCGCTACAAAATCAATCGCCTCACACAAGCCTGCCCACCACCTGTGAGAAGTGCGACAAAGCAGAACATAAAGCAGTCAAGGTGCAAACGAACAAGCACAGAATGTCAAATCTCGGAAGCTGACCATCCACTTGGCTTTTACGAGTATGTACAAAGTCATTCCACACCCGCTCGTCCGATTTCGATATCTTGCAGATAGTTGCCAACATGCTGCTCAGCCTGGGAGGAGATCTTTGAAGCTGTCTGCCAGCTTCCAGTTTGGCAGTTCCTGGCATTCCGGCCAAGATTCCTGCCAGAGAGCTCATGGTTCACACGGTTCTGGACTTCGATCATATATCTTCGATTGCAGTCCTCACTGGGCAGGCCGGCCAAACCGAATATCAAACCGAGCTGATGCAGCTCGGTCTTCCCCTGCACCAGTGAGACCGTGTCGGACGAGCCGTTTACATACGTCTATACTCCCAGGCATCCGCAGCAGATTCCAGCAAGTACACGTTATATGTCAGGTAAACTTCAGGTAACAATGACGGCAAAGTGCTGTACATGTGAGTTTTTCGACCCGGCTGCTTCGCGAAACTGGCTGTCTTGCGAGGCCTCGAACAATGGTCGGCGCAGCAACAGCTCCCCAAAGACACAGCCAACGCTCCAAATGTCGATCGCACTGCTATAAATCCTGCACGGCTTTGACTGCTGATCAAAAACTCGTCAACAAGCACCGAACATGAAAGCATTTCCTCTGTCCAAGCAGAATTTCTGGAGCGCGATACCAAAGTGATTGGACCTCGCATCTGCAGCAGATGGGGAAGAACGCGATGGCCACAAACATGCTGGGTTTGCATGCTTTAGACTGAAGTGTGGATGATGGTTACTGGCAAACTCGCCATGACAATGGCATGGAAAAAACCTTCTGCACCCACGACTGTTCCCCAATTTGCCCGATCTCTGCCCAAAGCATGCCCATCGAAGAAGCCATGCGTCACGCTGGGTGTAGGGGCGCAGCGGCCTGAGAAATATTGCAGTGCTTTTTCAAGCGCCCCCTTGTATATTCTATCATAAGCGCTGCGCATGTCCCGATTGGGACATTCAGAGTTTCTGCGAGCTTGACACTGGGACGTGGACTGGCCAAAATGACGTGCCAAGCCGAAGTCACAAATCTTGAGGACCCCGTTCCTCAGCTTGACCCAGCCGGCAAAGCCAAAAGCATGGTCTCACCTCGTTTCAAAAAAGCGTCAGCTCAGCCGAGACGCTGCTCGGTCGTCCGCTTAAGCTCGTCCCTACACGCACACGAGCACTACACAGCAAACTGTAGTCTTTCAGCCATGTGACTTGTCCAAGAGAATGTTAGATGTTTTGAGGTCGCGGTGCAAAATCCAGCACTGGTGCAGATGCCCAACTCCACGCAGCAGCTGAACAAGCAAGCACTTCATCTCTGCGATTGCAAAGATGTGCTTCGAAAGGAGAACTTTCAGCTCGTGCTCCACATACTCCATGACCATGAAGATGTGCTGGAGTGAGTTGCCGACAACCTTGAAGCATTGCACAGGCACAGATTTGACGAGACAAAGCCATGCCCTAGTCCGAAGACTTAGGGGATCTTGGAGACTTGGAGGGTGGCGCTGTCGTACAGAACGGCCGCTAAAGCAAGAGGCATGTCGGCATATCGCAATCTCGGGACTGAAGTGCGGATGCAACTATCTAACATGCCCATACATGCAAGCGAATGCTGAGCTTCGAGCAACCTCCCTGCATCGCACGACGTTGGGGTGCTGAATCTCGAGCAGGAGGGAGATTTCGCGCAAAGAAGAGCTTGGGAAGCCGTCGTCTGATTTAACTGCTGTCAGCTTCAGCTGCTTGAGGGCGACAACCTTGAACACCGATGTCCTACTATGTTGCCATAAGTTATATGATAGCTGCAACTGTCACGCCCAAAAATGCACACACAAGCCCGACAGACAAGTACGAGAATATGTGCTTGATTGAGCGTCCTCCCTCCTTTCGGAGCAGTGACTCAACATGGGATTCGAATGCACGCGGTTATGTTGCACGAGAGCTGTTCTTGCCAAAGGGCAAGATACTACAAAACGTGACAGCCCTGCATGTGAGCATACCCTGACAGTGACACTTTTTCGCATGATTAGCATAGATAAGCGCAGGACATCAACTGCCGCCGGCTCAGAGCTTGAAGCTTCTTTGGGCACTATCGCTGCGACGATCGGCTTGTATTGAAGGAATCGCTGCCATGTATAGTGCGATTACCAGGTAAGTGACGGTGAGTGCCAAACAAAAAAATTCAACTACCCCGCTCAAGGGCAATATCGGACCCCAACCCTAAAAAGCAGCTCCCATGATGGACTTAAGACGGGCACAACTCATTCTGAATTTCAGCGTGCAACTTCTCCGGTCTCCACATCGCATGCCCGGTAAACCACACCATAAGTGCCCTCATCGATTCGATTGAGCTTTCGGTATTGCTGAACACTCCGGCACCCAGGGATCACTGGCCCAAATCCAGCATCAACTTGTGCTTGCGTTCGTTGTCGTTTCGCTCCACTCAGACAGCTCATCGCCAATCATCATGGGAACAATGGAACTGTAAGCAAGCCCTCCTATGCCAAGGCTACAGAAAGGCAAGATGGAGCCTGCTGGCGCATGGGCAACCTATATTTCACTGGAAGTCTGCGACGTACCCACACCTTTGCCTACCGAGGGCACTTATCTTGCGAACATGGCCACGGACAACATGCAGGCACTCAGCCCAGACCTCCGGATAACCTGTGCAGGATTGCAGACCACTATCAGTCAAGAACTAGCTGCTAGCCGCGTTTGCTCTCTTGCCCATCTCATTTGGTTGGATGTCCCAAAACCTACAAGATGGTTGAGGGCAGCGGTTGCTGCTTCAAAACGTAGAGAGTGAAACGTCTGTAAGGTCATGCAGTGCTCGTACTCGTACAGGGCATGGCTTCGAAAGGGCTCAGCCCGCGGTCACTGTGACTCGTCGATCCGCCATCCTCAGCAAGAAACCACAGCCACGGGTTTGACACAGTTGGATGCTATTTTTTGAATCAGCATTAGTATTAGGTCCAAAAGAGACCTCGTCCTCAGCCCGGCACGCGTCCAACACAGCTATCCCTCCTGACAAAGGCCGATCTTTGCCTAACAGAGCGGCGAAGAACAGGCTTTGCTCATACCAAAGGTCCAAGCCATGAGCCCCCAGCCTCCGCAGCCAAGGTCGGGTGGAATACCCAAAAAAGCCATTTGCGGCCTCGAACTTATGTCAAGCTTTTTGAAATTCGCCGTAACACGAGAAGGTTTGGGTGTACGACTTGGAGTTCCAAGTGATACGTGGCTTCGTTTCTAGCATTTACAACCTGGCCAATCCAGAACCCTAGACTCGGAAAAGGCTGGTGCTGCGAAGCAGCCCTTTTCTGAAACCCACGACCAAAACCTTGACTCTACGCAGCCCAACACGCAAAGTCATGTGCTTCCACCCTACAACCAGGAATTGAGGACCCCAGTGCTCAACCTGAACGAAAACTACAGCCTCGATTCTGGACTTGGATGCAGGATGAGGAGTTGAAATTGCAAAGCTCAGCCTTTCAGTAATTAAGGTCAGTCTGTAATCCATGCTTGATACCAACAGCATTTTGATAATGACCGAAAGCTACACTCGTGCTTTGGACGAAACTCTAAAACTGAGCTTTCGACTCCGAACTCAGACAAACTGTTGGGGCCTTGGGGTTTATAAGACCTGGGGCCTAGGAGACCACCTTGGAGCACCCAAAACCCTAAACCCTCAACCTTTCAGACTCTACCTGAACCCAAAGACCCTCCCTGTTTAGGGTTCCTCCAGGTGGACCCTGCTTGACTCGTTTTGCCTTAGCTCCTAGGACTTTAACTGTGTGATTTTTTCATTAGCTTCCAAAAGGGAAGCTGGAAGTTTAAATTTGAAAGGGGGTTGAGAAATCAGCCAAGCTTTTCTAGTTTCGACCATCTCCCTGCTGCAGGGCGGATGCTGGTTCCCAAGACTCTGGCAGAGTAGGCTTTTGCTTCGAAGATTGAGCACGTGACACTCTGGACGAAGCTGGTCGACCTGCTCCATACGGTGGGATGCATATGATGGCAGCAGGGGGTGACTTCCATCAGAAATCATGCCATCCGATTTTCGTGGGCAAACATGGCTTTCCACCTTCGTGAAACATGCTTTCAATCTGGAATGATGCTATGTCCATCTTGGTCCCATTTACCGGATTGGACCCTAATCATCGCAGTTTTTATCCTGAAAATCTCCTCGGCCCCGGCCGAAGCGGTCAGACTTTCCTGCAGGAATCTCCTCGTAGCCCCTCCAATGTTCCACCTCCTGGCCACCTGACCCCCCCCTCCTTCTGTCTGAGATTTCGATTGTTTGTAAGCCGTCCCTCCCCCCCTCCCCCCTCCCCCTTGCCGCCGAAGTTCCCTCACACCTGCGGGAGTACTTGGAGTATGTCCTGCTCAGAAAGCTAGCTGTTGGTGCGAACAACCACTTGAGCATACTTGAGCCAATATGAAACGGAGTATACAATGAAGCGGCCATGTCATGATCTTACATGTCATTGCTGAAAGCACTCTGCCAAGGCCTGGGGGTGTAAGGCACTGAAAGTTTCAAGACACGCATTTCTTTCGCTGAAACCTTGACAGGATTCTTCGACTGTAACCATCGCACTCGTAGCTGCATGCAATTTTTGGTCTCGTTAGGCAAGTGTTTGGCGGAGTAAGATGAGTTTCTATGCCACATTAACATTAACATACATGTCTTCAACAACACAAAGTTGCGGTGCACGCTCTTCTTGTGGTTTATGTTTGTGAAACAAGCCCTGACTTTTGGAGAGACCTGACTGACTGTACATGATCAAGTCCTATTCGGCAGCTGATCCAACTAAACAATGCAGGGCATGTTTGTTCTAGGGAGAACTAAAGCCTATTTCTTTGTTTCCTGCGCAAACTGGAATCCGTCTGGTGAATAGTCGTCCCCAACCAGTTGAAAGCTTTCCGCCTAGGACTGAGACCCGCGGGAAACCCAAGTCACGCTTTCAACAGCAAATGGCGCTACCTTATGGATGGGGGGCGGGGGGGGAGACCCAAAGGAGAGCGGCCCGGTGAGTTGGAGAGGGGGGTGAGAGGGCCTCCGGGCAAGCTCCGCAACAGCTAGCTCTTGTGATTACTACCAGCTAGTAACTGCTGCCACTAGGCCAAGCCATCCAAGGCGCACTCGAATTTTGCATCCAAGGCGCACCTTGTGTACTATTAAAGTGCGGCTGCTGCGCCCCTGCTCTTCGCATCCAGGGCGCACTCTCAGGGGATTCATTCCTTGGGGTTTTCGTGTTCGGCAATAGATTCTCACTGGATTCACTCCTTAGGGTTTCCGTCCTGGGCAAAAGGTTCCTACTGGCTTCACTCGTTAAGGTTTCGCCTTGGGCAGAAGGTTCCTGCTGGATTGGATTCACTGCACGGTTTTCGTCTGGGGGAAAAGCTTCCTGCTGGCTTCACTCCTTCGGTTTTCCTCCTGGGCAAAAGGTTCCTGCTAATCTCACTCCTTAGGGTTTTTCGTGTTGGGCAACAGGCACTCCTTAGGGAGTCCGTCTTGGGGAAAGGTTCCTGCTGATTTCACTCTTTAGGATTTGTGTTCGGCAACAGATTCTCACTGGATTCACTCCTTAGGGTTTAACACCGAGAAGCAATTAGAAGCTGAGAAACACGAACTCAACCAAGCCGCTGCTCCAGAAAAAACACAGCACAGCCAAACCCAAACACTCATGTCTGGCCGTCTGTAGTATGCTGGCAAGCCCTGATCTGCGGAGCTGGCCTGCTGCGGGTTTCGGAGCACGAGGCCTGCGAAGTTGATGCAATGCGAGCAGTGACGTCAACTCGAGCCACGCATGCCAAGCCTTTTGCAGGATGCGGTCCTAGGCAAGGGGGTTACCCAGTTGCTTCATGGCGTCGAGCTATGTAGCCGGGCGGGTGTCGGGATGCTAGCAACCCGGAGCCGGTACAAAAACCGACGACGACTGTGCTCACTCAAACATCCCAACTGCCACCAAATTCGTCGGCTGCTTAAGGGTTGAGCGATTGTGCATTTCTGGTTTTACTGGAAACTGCCATTCGCACGTGTCCAGGACGAGGCTTTCGATTTATTCTCTTGCTCTTTGCGGCTTGCTTGGCGCGTAGAGATGTTTTAGATTGTATGTCTGCGGGCGTCAGACGTGCGGCTTTCGGGCTTTAGTGGGACGGCGCACTGTGCCGCTTAACGGCACCACACCAGGTGCCCCTTGAGACCTTTAGCGAGTTTTCTGAGTAATATACGGATCCTACCTCGACCACGTAGCGCTGTCTCGAGGGCGAGATGTACGCATGCTGGACGATTGAAGACCGGATGCGGCATTGAATCTGTATTTCCTCAGATGTTAGAGCTGCCGCAATTGCTGTCCTTACGGCTTGTACCATCTTGCCAGTTTGCGATGGCCCCCCTGAGAGGAAGCCAACACCAGTCTGATCTTACTGTGGGAACGTGCAATCGTCCATGACGGATGAAGCTCACAGTGTCGAGCGCTTCATACCAACAAGATTAGCCCGTGGCAAATCGAGAGCATTGCCAACCGATGTTCGTTCCATGTGTAAATCAACTGCAGGTCCTTTTGCGGTGTTGCATTCGCGAACGGCTTGCAGACGAGACTTGCTTGAGCGCAGAACGTTGCTCACTTCAAGTATGGCCAAGGAACACTGACTTCCGGCGTGGCTCTTCGGATGACGCCTCAGGCATTTAGGCAGAAAGCCTGAAAACAAGACGTAGCTGGAGATCCCTGCCTCAGAGGACTGAGCAGCCTCAGTGACCTGAGCTGATGCACGAGGAACTGCGGTTAGACCTCAGCTCCCTCTCCATCCCCACCTCTCTCGCCAGATTCGCCTTGATGTCTGTCGACCAAGCCTGCAAGCAAAGTCGAAGTGTGTGTTGCACCAGCCGTCTGCAAGAACCCGCCACTTCGGTTGACTGTGGCTCAGCACAAGCAGCGAGTGGCCAAACTTGTTTTGGACACATGCGAGTTAGGATGAATACCAGGAGCAATGCCTGCCTCTCCCTGAACTCTGATTGCTGCGAGGCTATTGTGATCTGTTGTGGTTCCATGTCATCTCGTGCTGTCTTGCAGCTCGCCGGAAACGGTCATGACTTCCTCACACACATACCAGCCGCTTCCCTCCCCCCCAGTTCTGGGATATGGCAGGCATGAACATTTAGATCGTTAAGTCGGCCCACACTAGAGGCCTTCTTCTGTGCCCGTCGGTACTCAGGCGACCACATCTTAATCTCCCTTTGTGAGCCTTTTTTGCTTGACTTCAAAGTATCAACTTTTCCACTGATGATCCATGCTCATTCCTTCAGGGGTGCTGCACAAGTGCTCCTTGCGAGTTGATCATGTCTATATGACACGAAACAAAGAACGGCCCGCCACATCCTGCTTCTCGGCACAATCCCGGACATCTTGAATTGCACGCCGTGCTCAGGATTGATACAACGGCAAGGCAATCCACGAGTCGGAGAAGCGCACAACCGCTCGAAGCAAGGCCGGCAATCATGCCAGAGACGCATCGATGGCCACTTGGGGCACTTCAGGTGGAGGAGCCGCATGCGAGTAGACGCAACTGTCTCCATGTGGACCTTGGAAACGGCCTACCATGGACTGCGCTTGTGAAGTCGTTGCTTTGCACTCGCAGCGATGCACTGAAGTGAAGACGAGTGCGTAAGGTCCTGGCAGAAGCCCAAGACTGCAAAAAATCGACAAGGTATCATCTTGCAGGAGCGGGGCCTTGGTGCGATCTGCAAGTGTTGCAGTGCTGGTGGTGAAGACATTGTGGTACGTTCGCATTCCAGGTAGCAGGAACCGTCGACTTTATCGGGGAAAAGTATTACAGGACGGCACAATTTTCGTTCACACGCAAGCACGAGAGCCAGCGTAAATTCCAGCAGCTATGGGAGCCCAACAATAGCTGAGAGTTGCGGCGTTCAGGGATGCCCGAAACCATGCCTGCTATCGATCTGAAGAAACCCAGGAAGAGACAGTGTCTCACAGATCACCAAAAGCAGGTTCCTGACATATGCCAGGGTCTTGGATCTCTAAAATATGGGCGACCTCTGCATATGTGACACTGAAGCTCAGCAGTCATAAACTAGTACTCCAGCACACATGATGGCATAGTGTACACATCAACAACCTCACAAATGATATTGTCTATATATACATATACTCCACATTCGAACCGTGCTGTACCTTGAAAGTTCGTGGCAGCATGTCAATAGGTTTACTTTCGATTCCGAGGCAAAACTGCAAACGTTGTGATGTTGCTGTGATTCACAACTTCGCCTCCTTTCAAGATGCTTGAGAGCTGGGCGCGTTTGCACAGTACAGCGGATCAAATTCTCGTCGTGGGCGGCATACTTCATGTACGTATGTACAACTTGGCCTCAGCGGTTCAATTGCCCGCCCCCGGATTTTGGGTTCGAGCAGAGGACTGAGGCCCTCTACAGCCGACAGAAACCTTTTGCACGAACTCGTGGACAAAAGGTCAAGCCTGGCACCAGAACAGACACCACACTGCCTCGGAACATAAACATGCCCGTCTTGCGTCTCTCTGGCTCTGCATCTGGAGGGAGCTCTCGGTTCTGAGTGGAAGCACAGAATCTAGAATCTACGCTGTGCAAGGCCAGCAATATAAGGTGCCAACGTCGACCAGGCCTTTGGCACTGGGAATGTCCTAAACAGCGCAGGATCGTACACTACCGTGTCGCCAACTGCACTTCCTCCCGAGGTGCCGACAACTTTCAATTCGAAGCCAGGGGCTGCCGGTGCAGGCGGGGTCGATCTGACTGAACCTGGTCAGTCACGACGTCTGGGTCGACAATCAGGTGAAATTACGAAGTCACTGACTCGGGCCATCGCGCTGCGGATCAGCCAGTATGGGCTGCACTTGTGGCTGCCCTATAGCTGCATAGCCTGATAAAGGCCATGCCAAGACAAGGCTTTTCCGTGTCTTGCTTTAGCAGATCTCCGAATGCCGGGAGCACACGCACACGCGCCCGCACGTTCACGCTCGCTGGAAAAGCCATCCCAACGTATCCCAACTTGGCTCCAAGACGAAGCGGAAAAAAACAATTTCTCTTAGCATTCCCAGCGAATCTCAGCGATGGCGAAAATGAAACCCAAGTCAAGAGGCTTCGGCAAGGCAAACAGCAGCCAACAGTTACTCACGTAGCCAGTCGACAAATGCACTTGCTGAGAATACTCGTCTGTCGTTACTCGGGGCAACCCGGAAACCCACTGACAACAAGAAGGATGATGCATCAGCACCTGAAAAGTGTGCGCGGAAGAATCCGTCGGATGGGCTCATCATTGCTCATCCAGGCAAGGCATTCCCCCCCCGGCCCACGTGCACCGTTTTCGATATCCTACTGTCGGCTTTCTTTCTGGCGCAAGACAACAACGCTCCGATAACGCATGGGAAGTGATTGGTCAGCTTGGCGTTCGGACAGTGGCATGGATCCATGTGTTGACATCGGCAGCTTAGTCGCAGAGACATCGGCAGCTTAGTCGTAGAGGCTCTAAGCTCCGGGCTAGCATGTATTCCACCACCAATGGAGGCCACCCACGGCCTCGATATAAGCGCTTCAACGCAGCAGCACCCAGGCACAAATGAGACAGCTGGGGCCCAGCGTCTGACCGATTTGTCGGTCTGTCAGATCACATAACGTGTTCTAAGCACGCGATCGCAGGATAGTGCAGAAGCATGGCATGACGGTCCGTCCGCGCCTCCCCACTTTGTGGGACACGCACTGCTAGGTCGTCTTGGCCTTGTGGAAAGACTCAAAGAAGAACCAATGTTCCGTATTGGCAGATGCTACAGTTCTTGTTTGGCCAGCCATAGGCATGCCATTGAGTTGTTGGATCGAAGCATACAGATGCCAAACTTCTGTAGGGACAATGTGGACATTGTAGGATGTGGGGGCAGACGGCGACTGAGAAAAGAAGCTGCAAACCAAAGTGTAAGGAGAACTATTGGAAGGGAAGGCGAGCAGCCAGCACAACAGTCTGGGTGAAGGACAGCTGACAAGAAACTCACAGGCTGGTGATGTTCGTTCCAGAAAACCCGAAAAGGTGCGATGACACCAGGACCTCATCAAGAGCTAACCCAGCTTTAACAACTGCTACGGCAGCTTATTCCAATCGCATCGGTGATTTGCACAACGCACACAGGACTATCAGCCGGTGACACCGCCGCCTACCGAGTGGAACGGCATTAGCCGAAGGCGGCCGAGGCAGCGGCCCTTTGCAATTTTCTGGTCTGACCTTGCCAAGCCGCAAAATCCCTCAGTGGCTCAATGGCTCGGCATGGCTCTGCTCAGCCAAAGCACTTGAAATCCACGGACAGCTGACCTGAAGTGGCATCATTTAACACAATGGCAGTGGCGATGCACGCTGTGTCCATGGCCTCGGTCTTCGAGCTGTTGGCTCAGGTGACATGCACGCAGCCTGGGTCGAAACATTTTCAGACGCGCTTTGCAGTCCGAATCTGCTATCGCTGGGCCAGGTACCAAAATGACCGGCCGATGCTTTGCGGCGCTGTTCGCGGCAATGCATCAGAGACACTTGCAAACAGAAAATACAACAGATGCAATGTTGCGAGAAGCCTTGTCCGACATGTCCGAACGAGAATGCGAGCAAACACATCGCACAAACCGTGACGAGAGCGCAGAGCATTTTTCGGTTCGGCAGAGGCACCAAATCCATCGCCTGCTCACACTGCCTCGAAAAGTATGTGATGCCGACTGATGCGCCGTGCCACGGATGCACGTTGCGCCGTACGAATGGTGAAACATGTTCCAGTGCACAAGCGATGAACACGAAAAAGTGCTGCGGAGCTATGTTTTCTTTAGATCATACCATGTCTGACTTCCATTCTTCTTCTGCATCGTAACAGACACCTGAACCAGCAATGCACATGTAATGAGCACTTGTGTCACGATGCAAAGCTGACCTTCGCTTTCTCCACATTGGCTCGGAAAGAAGAAGTCTCTGGCCTCAGGTTTGCCACTACTTGTAATTGCATTCGTCCAAAAACCAAAATCTGCATTGAGAAATTGAGTGCAGGGCACGATGTCACTGTATAGCGGCTCCACTTTACACACGTAAACAGCCTCATCGGACGATGCAGCGCAACACAGGCGTGAACAGAGTCAAGGCGTGGCACACGCACCCACCCTTCGTTGACGACAACTTCGCATGTAAGTATGTCTGGGGATCGTGCGCCAGACGTTGGGGTGACCTGCCCGCTTCGAGCACTGCACGTTTGCTAACATCCATGTTGAAACCCTTGCTTGTGCAGAGCTTGCAGATAACCGCCTGGATGTGCAGTCTGCGGGGTGCGAAATCGCAAGTCACTTGCGACACATCTTGCAGCACATCAGGTGGCAGCTGCACGTATACTTTCACCTTCGTGCCTGGCCAGTATGCTCCTCGATCAACATAGCTTACGGCATAAACATGCCAAGCCCACCATCATCGGTCCACGAGAAATTGCGCAACGTGTGGACTTGTCGTTCGCTGCTTTGTTCACACTGACCGGCTTCGACCTCCAATTTGACTGGTGGCCCGCCTGCATGCTAACATCGTATCCAATGCGGCACTGGGGAATATCTCGTGCCTGTAACAAGCCCAGGTCCAGAAATCACACGTGCTTCCGGCGGCACCTGACAAGCCACGCATTTGTCATGCTCAGGGCTAACAACTGGCTAGCCCCAACCAGCACTCACCGGTCAAATCCTTTCCACCTAGTTTTTGAACCGACGGCACCTCGAACTTGCGGTTGTGCGCATAATAATATGCATTTTCTCCTTTCGATCTTCGACCAAGCGACAGAACTGACTACGCGCACATCAACTTTGCAGAACGTGCCTTTGGACTGAATGTTTTGTCTCAGCGCAGACGCCTGATCCGAATATACAGCATGCACCTATGTAGGTATATATAATTATCTTTTATTGTATTATATAATCGTATATTGGTTTATATTAACTTCTAGTATATTATTTATGTTATAATATTAATATTATATACTACTTTTTATTATATTACCTTATGTGTTTTATTTTTAATTTATATCTTATGATCTTACTTTTTACTATTTATAACATTTTATTTTATATTATTTTATATTATATTATATTATTATATTTTTTATTTTGCAGTATGGTTTATATTATATTATATTATATTATATTATATTATATTATATTATATTATGTTATATTATATTATGCTTTACTATATTATATTATATACGTGTACATATATACATATACACACATACATATACACTCATACCTATATATACATACATGTATACATATATATATATATATTATATTATATTATAGATGTTTACAATGTTACACAAATATCATACATGTACACATATATACATATATACACATATATATATATACATATATACGTATATACATCTAAATATATACATATATACAAAAACATATATACATATACAATATATACATATATACGTATATACATATATCCATATATACGAAGCCAGCTTCGGACAATCTCTGGTCCGTGCTAAGAGGGATGGCTCGAATGCTCTAGACCTTGAGTGACTATTGCTTTTAGCAGAATATCGAGCTTGTTTGCTAGTTCTTGAGCCACAAAGTTGGCGGCGCATTCTGAGTGAGACCTTTAGTCATACTCACATAGGAAAAGAGTCGCGACAGAAAAGATATGA